AATGATACACTGGACCAGATAGATTTCACAGATATCTACAGAACTTTACATCCAAACTCAACTGAATACACATTCTTCTCAAGTGCACATGGAACTTTTTCCAGAATAGACCACATACTGGGTCACAAATCAGGTCTGAACCGATACCAAAAGATTGGGATCGTCCCCTGCATATTCTCAGACCATAACGCCTTGAAATTAGAACTCAATCACAAGAAGAAGTTTGGAAGGACCTCAAACACGTGGAGGTTAAGGACCATCCTGCTAAAAGATGTAAGGGTCAACCAGGAAATTAAGGAAGAATTAAAAAGATTCATGGAAACTAATGAGAATGAAGATACAACCGTTCAAAATCTTTGGGATACAGCAAAAGCAGTCCTGAGGGGGAAATACATCGCAATATAAGCATCCATTCAAAAACTGGAAAGAACTCAAATACAAAAGCTAACCTTACACATAAAGGAGCTAGAGAAAAAACAGCAGATGGACCCTACGCCCAGCAGAAGAAGAGAGTTAATTAAAATTTGAGCAGAACTCAACGAAATTGAGACCAGAAGAACTGTGGAACAGATCAATAGAACCAGGAGTTGGTTCTTTGAAAGAATTAATAAGATAGATAAACCATTAGCCAGCCTTATTAAAAAGAAGAGAGAGAAGACTCAAATTAATAAAATCATGAATGAGAAAGGAGAGATCACTACCAACACCAAGGAAATACAAACGATTTTAAAAACTTATTATGAACAGCTCTATGCCAATAAATTAGGCAATCTAGAAGAAATGGACACATTCCTGGAAAGCCACAAACTACCAAAACTGGAACAGGAAGAAATAGAAAACCTGAACAGGCCAATAACCAGGGAGGAAATTGAAGCAGTCATCAAAAACCTCCCAAGACACAAGAGTCCAGGGCCAGATGGCTTCCCAGGGGAATTCTATCAAACGTTTAAAGAAGTAATCATACCTATTCTACTAAAGCTGTTTGGAAAGATAGAAAGAGATGGAGTACTTCCAAATTCATTCTATGAGGCCAGCATCACCTTAATTCCAAAACCAGACAAAGACCCCACCAAAAAGGAGAATTACAGACCAATATCCCTGATGAACATGGATGCAAAAATTCTCAACAAGATACTAGCCAATAGGATCCAACAACACATTAAGAAAATTATTCACCATGACCAAGTAGGATTTATCCCCAGGACACAAGGCTGGTTCAACACTCGTAAAACAATCAATGTGATTCATCATATCAGCAAGAGAAAAACCAAGAACCATATGATCCTCTCATTAGATGCAGAGAAAGCATTTGACAAAATACATCATCCATTCCTGATCAAAACTCTTCAGAGTGTAGGGATAGAGGGAACTTTCCCCAACATCTTAAAAGCCATCTACGAAAAGCCCACAGCAAATATCATTCTCAATGGGGAGCACTGGGAGCCTTTCCCCTAAGATCAGGAACAAGACCGGGATGTCCACTGTCACCACTGCTATTCAACATAGTATTGGAAGTCCTAGCCTCAGCAATCAGACAACAAAAAGACATTAAAGGCATTCAAATTGGCAAAGAAGAAGTCAAACTCTCCCTCTTCACTGAACACATGATACTCTACATAGAAAACGCCAAAGCCTCCACCCCAAGATTGCTAGAACTCATACAGCAATTGGGTAGCATGGCAGGATACAAAATCAATGCCCAGAAATCAATGGCATTTCCATACACTAACAATGAGACTGAAGAAAGAGAAATTAAGGAGTCAATCCCATTTACAGTTGCACCCAAAAGCATAAGGAACCTAGGAATAAACCTAACCAAAGAGGTAAAGGATCTATACCCAAAAAACACTTCTGAAAGAAATTGAGGAAGACACAAAGAGATGGAAAAATATTCCATGCTCATGGATTGGCAGAATTAATATTGTGAAAATGTCAATGTTACCCAGGGCAATTTACACGTTTAATGCAATCCCTATCAAAATACCATGGACTTTCTTCAGAGAGTTAGAACAAATTATTTTAAGATTTGTGTGGAATCAGAAAAGACCCCGAATAGCCAGGGGAATTTTAAAAAATAAAACCATACCTGGGGGCATCACAATGCCAGATTTCAGGTTGTACTACAAAGCTGTGGTCATCAAGACAGTGTGGTACTGGCACAAAAACAGACACATAGATCAATGGAACAGAATAGAGAACCCAGAAGTGGACCCTGAACTTTATGGTCAACTAATATTCGATAAAGGAGGAAAGACTATCCATTGGAAGAAAGACAGTCTCTTCAATAAATGGTGCTGGGAAAATTGGACATCCACATGCAGAAGAATGAAACTAGACCACTCTGTTTCACCATACACAAAGATAAACTCAAAATGGATGAAAGATCTAAATGTGAGACAAGATTCCATCAAAATCCTAGAGGAGAACACAGGCAACACCCTTTTTGAACTTGGCCACAGTAACTTCTTGCAAGAGACATCCACGAAGGCAAAAGAAACAAAAGCAAAAATGAACTATTGGGACTTTATCAAGATAAGAAGCTTTTGCACAGCAAAGGATACAGTCAGCAAAACTAAATGACAACCTACAGAATGGGAGAAGATATTTGCAAATGACATATCAGAGAAAGGGCTAGTTTCCAAGATCTATAAAGAACTTATTAAACTCAACACCAAAGAAACAAATAATCCAATCATGAAATGGGCAAAAGACATGAAGAGAAATCTCACAGAGGAAGACATAGACATGGCCAACATGCACATGAGAAAATGCTCTGCATCACTTGCCATCAGGGAAATACAAACCAAAACCACAAGGAGATACCACCTCACACCAGTGAGAATGGGGAAAATTAACAAGGCAGGAAACAACAAATGTTGGAGAGGTTGCGGAGAAAAGGGAAGCCTCTTACACTGTTGGTGGGAATGTGACATGGTGCAGCAACTCTGGAAAACTGTGTGGAGGTTCCTCAAAGAGTTAAAAATAGACCTGCCCTATGACCCAGCAATTGCACTGTTAGGAATTTACCCCAAAGATTCCGATGCAATGAAACGCCGGGACACCTGCACCCCAATGTTTATAGCAGCAATGGCCACAATAGCCAAACTGTGGAAGGAGCCTCGGTGCCCATCGAAAGATGAATGGTTAAAGAAGATGTGGTTTATGTATACAATGGAATATTACTCAGCCATTAGAAACGACAAATACCCACCATTTGCTTCAGTGTGGATGGAACTGGAGGGTATTATGCTGAGTGAAGTAAGTCAATCGGAGAAGGACAAACAGTGTATGTTCTCATTCATTTGGGGAATATAAATAATAGTGAAAGGGAATATAAGGGAAGGGAGAAGAAATGTGTGGGAAATATCAGAAAGGGAGACAGAACATAAAGACTCCTAACTCTGGGAAATGAACTAGGGGTGGTGGAGGGGGAGGAGGGCGGGGGGTGGGGGTGAATGGGTGACGGGCTTGAGGGGGACACTTGACGGGATGAGCACTGCGTGTTATTCTGTATGTTGGTAAATTGAGCACCAATAAAAAATTAATTTATTAAAAAAAGGTTTTCCATTCAAAAAAATAAAAAAAGATACACACCAGGAAAAAATATTTAAAACCACATAGGAAAGGACTAGTATCATCTAGAATATAAAAATACTCTTTCAAAACCCAACAGTAAAAAATAAAACAATTCAAAACTGAGTAAAAGACACAGACAGTTCACCAAAATGGCTATACCCATGACAAGCACATGAAAAGATATTAAAATCCTTAGCCATTAGGGAAATGCAAATTAAGACCACAAAGAGACATCACTACATTCCTATCACAATGGCTAAAACAAAAGTGATGACAAAACCAAATGCTGAAAATTGAGTCACTCATATGCTCCTTATGTGAATGTAAAATGGGAAAGCCATTTTGAAAAATAATTTGTTCATTTCTTATAAGAGAAAATGAATTTACTCTAAGACCCAGAAATTGCACACTTAGGCATTTATACCAGGGAAATGTAAATTTATGTTCACACAAAAGCCTACACACAAATGTTTGTAAGTTCATTTGTAACAGCCACTTATTTTTTTAGCTTAGTGTTTCCTTCTAGTAAGAAATTTAATGTTCAGAACAAGTTATAATCTCACATTAATTATATTAGGATGTTCTGTTCTAAAATCATTTATCTGATGATTAGTAGGATTGATTAAAGTTTCACCTATGTATTTGGAAGGTCTGTATTTGGAAGGTCTTCCTCTCATTTGAATTCTATAATATTATATAATTAAAATACTGAAAAAAGGAACCCCAATGCACTGTTGATATGAATGTAAATTGATGCAACCACTGTGAAAAACAGCATGAAGTTTCCTCAAAAAATTAAAAATTGAAATACCATATTATCCAGTAATTCCACTACTATTTGCCTGAAGAAAATGAAAACACTAATTTGAAAAGATATATGCACCCCAATGTTTATTGCAGCATTATTTACAATAAGACATGGAAGCAACCTAAGTGTCCATCAATAGATGAATAAAGAAGATGTCATATGTATATACAATGGAATATTACTCAGCCATAAAAAGAAACATCTTGCAACAACATGGACAGACTTAGAGGGCATTAGGCTAAGTGAAATAAGTCAAACAGAGAAAGACAAATATCATCTGATTTCACTTATATCTGGAATTTAAAACAAAAAGCAGAAACAGAATCATAAATACACAGAACTGGTGGTTGTCAGAGGAGGGGGGTATTGGGGGTATAGATAAAATAGGTGAAAATGATTAAAAGGTATAAACTTCCAGTTACAAAATAAATAAATCACAGGAATGAGAAGTACAGCATAATCAATAGAACATAGTCAATACTACTGTAACAATGTTGTATAGTGACAGATGATAACCACATACATTGTGGTGTGTACAGAATGAGGTACAGAATTGTCAAATCACTATGGTGAACAGCTGAAACTAATATAACATTGTATGTCAACTATACTTTAATAAAAAAATAATTACTCTTGAGCCTAGAAGGAAACTTTTAAATACTGAATAAACATAAAATTTCAATAATAACTAATGTTTATTAAGTATATTCTATGTATTACACATTGCTTTAAGGCTTTATATGCATTTATGTCCTTAAATCATGATGAGAATGATATTAACCTTTTATAAATGAAAAAACTAAAGCAACAGGGGTTAACTAACTTTCCCAAAGGAATACACATTTACTATGGTGGAGCTCAGATCACGTAAATAAGAGAACAATGCCAAACAAGAAAATCCTAAATTTTATGGTTGTGTTCTTGCATGAATTCACCAATGTCTAACAAAGAATGAAATATGATGGAAACTGATTCTCCATTATATTAATCTAGCCTTTGTTTACATTTTCTGATAGTCAGTTACCATCAGTGAAAGTAAAAAAGGATTTCCTTTTTCATAATCTTAATTATCTGATATTCCAAAGCTGAGTGTCAATGGCACTCAGCTTTGGAAGACAAAAGCTTTGTCTGGGCAGACAAAAGATTTGATAAATTTGTATTTTCATAAAGTTTTTCTCAATCATGAAGTTTATGATGTTGAATAAGGTGTGAATGACGTCTAAAGTCCTTACCACATTCATTACATTTATAAGGCTTTTCACCAGAATGAATTCTCTGATGTTGAGTAAGCTGTGAGCCACGATTAAAGGCCTTGCCACATTCATTACATTTGTACGGTTTCTCACCAGTATGAATTCTCTGATGCTGAGTGAGATGTGAACCACGAATAAAGGCTTTCCCACATTCACTACATTCATAAGGCTTCTCACCAGTATGAACTCTCTGATGGTAAGTTAGCTGTGAGCCACGAATAAAAGCCTTACCACATTCTTTACATTCATATGGTTTCCTATCAGAATGAGAAATCTGATGTAGAGTAAGTTGTGAGGCACAAATAAAGATCTTACCACACTGCTTACATTCACAGGGATTCTCACCTGTATGAATTCTCTGATGTTGAGTCAGTTGTGAGCTATAAATAAAGGCCTTCCCACACTCTTTACATTCATAGGGTTTTTCACCAGTATGAATTCTCTGATGCTGAGTAAGATGTGAGCCACGAATAAAGGCTTTCCCACATTCCTTACATTCAAAAGGTTTTTCACCAGTGTGAATTTTTTGATGTTCTGTAAGTTGTGAGCCACGAATAAATGATTTCCCACATTCTTGACATTCATACGGTTTCTCACCAGTATGAATCCTCTGATGTCGAATAAGTTGTGAGCCATAGTTAAAGGCCTTTCCACATTGCTTGCATTCATGTGGTTTCCTACCTGTATGAATCCTCTGATGTTCAGTAAGTTGTGAGCCACGAATAAAGGACATCTCACAGTCTTTACATTTATAGGGTTTTTCACCAGTATGAAGTCTGTGATGTAGAGTAAGCTGTGAGCCATAACTAAAAGCTTTCCCACATTTCTTACATTCATAGGGTTTCTCACCTGTATGAATTCTCTGATGTTCAGTAAGTTGGGAGCCACGAATAAAGGCTTTTCCACATTCTTTACATTGATAGGGTTTCTCTGCAGTATGAACTCTCTGATGGTAAGTAAGTTGAGAGCCACGAAAAAAGGCCTTACCACATTCATTACATTCATAGAGTCTTTCACCAGTATGAATTCTTTGATGCTGTGTAAGATGAGAGCCACGAATAAAGGCCTTCCCACATTCTTTACATTTATAAGGTTTCTCCCCAGTATGAATTCTTTGATGATAAGTAAGCTGTGAGGCACAAATAAAGGCTTTTCCACACTCCTTACATTCATAGGGTTTCTTAACATGAATTCTCTGATTGTAAATAAGTTCTGAGCCTCGAATAAAGGCCTTTCCACACTCTTTACATTCATAGAATTTTTCATCAAAATGAACTTTCTGATGTTCAGAAAGTTGAAAGCCATGGATAAAGTATTTTCTGCATGCTTTACATTCATAGGATTTCTCAGGAAAATGACTTCTTTCTTTTAATGTAAGGGATGTGGTTTGGCTAAAATTGGGAATTTCCTTACAGGTGATTAGTAATTGCCTGAAAACTCTCTCTTTATTTCCTATTTGGCTTTCAACCTGGTCTTTGCATTCCCTATCATCTTGGAAACATTCACACTCACACTTATGTCTTCTAAGCTGTTCTATTATTTCCCATTGAGATGATTCTATTTCAAAAATTCCTCTTTTTGAGGACAGCTTTTTGGTCTCACACCTGGATTCCCAGTCTGTAAGGAAACAAGAAAGTAAATGTTATTTTCATATTCCTTAAAAATAAAACTTCTAAGGTACTACTAGTCAACTCAAACTGAATATCATCCTTATGTCAATACAATCAATAAAGTGGAAAAGAAAAATCCAGAAAGAGACATAATTATAAGTGCAAATTTAGTATACGATAAAGCTGGCAGCTCAAATCACTATGAAAAATATGAACTCTTTTCAATAAATGACACTGATAAACATGGGTAGACAAATAGAAAAAGGATAAAATTGCATTATTTCTTCACATAGTACAGTTGGCTAAATTCTAAATGGATCAGATTTCCATATTTACAGAAATAAAAACATATAAATAATTAGAATAAAACTTGGGTGGACTTCTATACACTAGGAATGGGGAAAACTTTGTTAATCATAATTTAAGGGGATCCCCGGGTGGCTCAGTGGTTTAGTCTCTGCCTTCGGCCCAGGGCATGATCCAGGAGTCCCGGGATCGAGTCCCACGTTGGGCTCACTGTATGGAATCTGCTTCTCCCTCTGCCTGTGTGTCTGCCTCTCTCTCTCTATGTGTGTCTCTAATGAATACATAAATTTTAAAAAGAAAAATAATAATTTGATAAAAAATAACCACATTATAGTAAAAAAAAGGGACTGGCATGTCAAAAACAAGATAGGGTAAATCAAATGAAAAATATTTACAAAGCTGCAATAACCTAATATATACCTAATATATAAACAGTTTATAAAATTAGAAAGAGTAAAGCCTACTATATAAAGCTGAACACCAGCACTATATAAAAATGGACTAGGAAAATGGACAGTTGATAGAAAAGAATTTAAATAGCTTTTAACCATATGAAAATATATTCAAATTTGCTCATAAGATAAATGCAAATTAAACCTACACAAAAGTGAGGATATGGAGAAATTAGAACTCTCATAGCTTGCTGATGGAAATGTAAAATGTTAAAGCTGCTTTATAAAACAGCACTTCCTCAAAAACTTAACATAGAGTTGCCATATTACCCTACAATTTCACGCCAAGTTATATCACCAAGAGAAATGTCCATCATAGAGTTACTACATACCCCAGAATTCCCACTCATAGGTACAGAGACAAGAGAACCCAAAACACATATCTATATAAAAACTTGAATACCATGTTCATAACAACATAATTCTTAATAAGCATAAGGTGGAAACAACACAAACATCCATTAATTGATGAATGGATAAATAAAATATGGTATATCCTTACAATAGAATATTTGGCAATAAAAATACTGACACGTTACAACATGAATAAACTGAAAATCTTATGCTAAGTAAAAGACGCCAGTCACAAAAGACCACATAGTGTATGATTCCTTTTATATGTATTGTCCAGAATAGGCAAATCCATACAGATAGAGCAAGAGCTGCACAGGACTGGGGGGTGGACAGAGAAAAATGGGGAATGGCTACTATTGGATATTGGATTTCTTTGGGAGGTGTTAAAAATGTTCTAAAATTGTGGTGATGACTGTATGAGACTTTGAATATAGTAAAAGTAATCACTGTTTACTAGAAATGGGTAAACTGTATGTCATGTGACATGTCAGTAAAGTAGTTTTTTTTTTTTTTTAATTTTTATTTTATTTTATTTATTTATGATAGGCACACAGTGAGAGAGAGAGAGGCAGAGACACAGGCAGAGGGAGAAGCAGGCTCCATGCACCGGGAGCCCGACGTGGGATTCGATCCCGGGTCTCCAGGATCGCGCCCTGGGCCAAAGGCAGGCGCCAAACCGCTGCGCCACCCAGGGATTCCCCTCAGTAAAGTAGTTTTAAAAAATAACACTGACCTGCTATTTCTCACCTCTTAGAATATGGAATTTCCAAATATGACATCTAATACTGTTACCAAGGCTGTAAAAGAATTGGTACTTACATATATTGCTAGTAAGAATATGAAAGATAGAAACCTTATCAAAGGAAATATATTAAAAAATAATAAACAAAAAATAAAAAGAAAGTAAAAAGAAAGGAAATATAGCAGTATTTAATACAATTACATATATATTTTGATCCAACAACTCCACTTCTGTGAAATAAATCCCCAAATTGCACTAGCAAAATGTCAAAAATATGATGCACAAGGGTTTCACTGAGGCATAATGTGTTACAGCAAAAGATTAAAAATAACCTAATTGTCCATTAGTAATTGGCTGGTTGAATCCATTTATGGTATATCCACATCACAGAGTACTATGCAAAGTACGTATAATTATGCCTTTTATCTTTGGAAGGAGAGGTGGAAGAGGAAGTATAGCTTGAAATCCAGAATTGTGATGCCTCCAGTTTGATTTTTCTTTTTCAGAATTGCCTTGGCACAGTGAAGGAAATAATCAACAAAACTATAAGGCAGCCTATGGAATGGGAGAAGATATTTGCAAACAACATATTTGATACAGGGTTAGTATCCAAAATCTATAAAGAACTTATCAAACTTAGCCAAAAATAAAGGAATCCAATTAAGAAATGGACAGAAAACATGAATAGACACTTTTCCAAAGAAGATATCCAGATAGCTAACAGACATATGAAAATACGACTCATCATCAGGGAAATACAAACCAAAACCACGATGAAATACATCACACCTGTCAGAATGGCTAAAAATAACAACACAAGAAACAATAGGTATTGATGAGGATGTGGAGAAAGGGGAACCCTCTTGCATTGTTGGTAGGAATGCAAACTGGTGCAGCCACTCTGGAGAACAGTTTGCAGGCTCCTTAAAAAAGTTAAAAGTAGAACTACCCTATAATCCAGCAATTGCATTCATTACTAGGTATTTACCCAAAGGATACAAGAATACAGATTCAAAGGGATACATGTTCCCCAATGTTTATAGCAGCATTATCAATAATAAAGTAAAAAGAAAGAGCCCAAATGTTCATCAACTGATGAATGGTTAAAGAACACACACACACACACACACACACACACACACACACACACTGGAATAATACTCAGCCATCAAAAAGAATGAAATCTTGCCATTTGCAATGATGTGGATAAAGCTAGAGAGAATTATGCTAAGTGAAATAAATCAGACAAAGACAAATACCATATGATCTCACTCATATGTGGAATTTAAGAAAGAAAACATGAACATATGGGAAGAGGGAAAAGGAAAAGGAGAAGGGGAAACAAGCCATATGAGATTTTAATGACAGAGAACAAACAGGGTTGATAGAGGAGGTGGATGGGGGATGGGTTAGATAGGTGATGGGGATTAAAGAGGGCACTTGTGATGAGCACTGGATGTTTTATGCAAGTGATGAATTTCGAATTCTACTCTAGAAACTAATACTGCACTGTATGTTAACCAAGTAAAATTTAAATTAAACAAAAAAAGAAGGTGAGCATCTGGAAAAAAAAGTCTATAATTAAACTATATTGGATGTACTGGTATAAATTCATGCTTTAGTTTACTTTTTTTATTAAGGCAGTTTCTTAGAGCAGTCTTAAGTTTTAGGTTTACAGAAAAATTGAACAGAGAGTTCCCACATTCTGTCTTTCCCACTTTTTTAAAAAAAAAGATTTTATTTATTTATTCATGAGAGGCAGAGAGGGTGGGGGGAGCCCGATGTGGGACTCAATCCCAGGACTCCAGGATCACACCCTGGGCTGAAGGCAGGCGCTAAACCACTGACCCACCCAGAGATCCCCTGTCCTTTCCACTCTTATGTGTTAATACTTTGCATTGGTGTGGTATATTTGTTACAACTGATAAAGTTTTATTAATATATTATTATTAACTAAATTTAATAGTTTACATTAGGGTTCACTCTTTGTGTTGTATTATATGGGTTTTGCCAAATGCATATCATGTCATCTTATTCACCATTACAGTATTACACACAGTAATTTACTTAAAAATCCCCTGTACTGAGACAAAACATGAGAGACTCCTAACTCTGGGAAACGCCAAGGGATAGTGGAAGGGGAGGTAGGCGAGGGGATGGGGTGACTGGGTGACAGGCACTGAGGGGGGCACTTGATGGGATGAACACTGGGTGTTATATTTTGGCAAATCGAACTCCAATAAAAAAATACACACAAAAAAAATCCCCTGTACTCCACTTAGCCATTCCTCCTTCCTCTCCAAATCCAGGCAACCACTAATTGTTTTACTAACTCCACTATTTGCTTTTTCCAGAATGTGATATAGTTGGAATCATAAAGTATGTAAGTTCTTGAAACTGGCTTTCACTTAATAAAATGCTAAGCATATTTAAGGTTTCTTCATGTCTTTTCATGACTCAGTCATTAATTTATTTTTCATTGCTGAATAATAGTCCTTTGTACGGATGAACTACATAAGGTTATTCACCTACTGAAGGACATCTTGGTTGCTTTCAAGGTTTATGCTGAGTGAAATAAGTCAATCAGAACAGGACAAACATTACATGGTATCATTCATTTGGGGAATATAAAAATTAGTGAAAGGGAATAAAGGGTAAGGAGAGAAAATGAGTGAAAATATCCGTGAGGGTGACAAAACATGAGAGACACCTAACTCTGGGAAATGAACAAGGGGTAGTGGAAGGGGAGATCGGTGGGGGATTGCGGTGACTGGGTGATGGGCACTGAGGGGGGCACTTGGCGGGATGAGCACTGGGTGTTATGCTATATGTTGGCAAATTGAACTCCAATTTAAAAATTTTTTTAGGGATCCCTGTGTGGCGCAGCGGTTTAG